CCCCGCCCTGCCCGGGATGCTGCGCTCGGCGGAGCTCGGCTCGGTTCGGCAGCACCCGGCTCGGTCCGGCTGAACTCGGCTCCTGTCGGCTGCATTGCGCAACATTCGCCTCTTCGGCGACGCTGGGCTCGCTTCGGCCGACCTCGGAGCCGCTCTGTGTGTTCGGCACAGATCGGCTCTTTCCGGCTGCACTCGGAGCCGCTCGCTCCGTTCCCCTCGGCCCGGCTCCCTGAGGGCGGCGCGGGCCGGGCCGAGGCGCCGTCGGGAAAGCGGCGCGGCCGCACGTTCAACACACGAGGCTCGGGGCTGCCCGGCTGCCTTGTCCGGTGGCGTCCCGGGCCTCGCCCTGTCAGGAAAATTAATCCACAAACACCATAGGTTTATGTCCAAAAGGAGACACAGGAGCCCTGTAACTTTATTGGCATAAAGGGAAAGGCCATGGGCATTCCCCATGGGGTCACCCAAGATGCTGGAGAACGCAGCCTCGTTTTTATGCTAATTTATCAGACGCATTTCTCTCTGTCTTTCCCTTACTTGAGAGGTACAAACTTCCCAAATTTCCTAAACCAGGCGGCTTTCTGACGTGTATCCCCTTCTTCTTTGTGTCTGTGTTCTTTTTCTTCAAATCTAGGAATTCAGCATTGGCTTGGGTGAGCAACAGTCTGTCAATTAGTGGAATTCCTCTGCAATTTACACTTCTATTCATTACTTCTCTCACCTATCAGTATCTGGGTGTGTCTACCAGCAGACCCACAGTGTGTTTGTAAAGACACCTCCTTCTCATTCCTTCCAGCACGACCACAAACGGGAGTGCAGGGTCAGGCAGAAGTTCATTAGGCTGTGACTGCAGGCGCGCTAATTAATGGCCATGCGAGCAGGCGGCCTGGTTTGGCAGGGCTCGGCTCGGTTCGGCTGCACTCGGCCCAGTTCAGTTGAACTCAACTCGGTTCAGCAGAGCTCCGCTAGATTCGGCTCACAGATTTCCTGATGGCAGCTCCTAGGAATTCTGTGTGACACAAATTGCAGCCTCTAAAAGGCTTGCGGGTCTTGAAAGAAATATAATTTTAACTC